AAAGAAAGAAGCAACCCATATGTTTGGTGCCACTGTTTTTGCTATCTGTGCACATTTTAGGAGAATTTAAATACAAAAGCCTCAGTGACCTAACAGACTGTGAGAGATGCTTTTTAAGGGAGAGGGAGCAATTTATATAAACCCAACTGCCACAATTCAGCTTTTCAAAACAGAAGCAAGTTGCTCAGATGAACCATGACTTTAATTAACTTACCCTAGTTCTGTGCAGTAGAAAGGAGTAATGACATTTGCTCCATTTTCTGGGTGGGAGGTCAGCCGTCCAGCTTCTCTGGCTTCTCGCTCAGGGTCCACAAGTGACCGTGGCAAAATATAGAGCTCCTTGGAGTGGTCAAAACGCCCTCGGACCTTTACAGGTCTGTACTCCAGTTCCTTCAATTCCATGGGGCTGCATGGAACAAGATGAAAACAAAATCATGGCTGCGACAGGAAAATCAAATTACAGATTTTACTGTGGGATTCTCCTTTTCCCTAATGGTTCACTCTACAGCCAGTTGGCAAACAGAAACAGAAGACAAACACCTCACCGAGTAATCAGCTATTTTATTACTATCACAATGAATCAAATCAAGATGATGGTGAGTATCCAGACAGCAGTTCTTTTCCACAAGATCTGTAACCCAGTGCCACTCCAGCGGCACAAGCAGCTGATCAGCAGGTGGATACGCTGCATGTGCATCCAGCCAGGGAGTGTTTCCTTCCCATCCCAGACCACGAAATCAAAATGAACTATTTTTACAGTTGTGCCATATGGCCAAGTGGCCTGAAAAATCTCTCTCCTATGTGACACAACTGCTCCAGGCTTGGGGCAGGGTCTGCTATTGATCCAAAACTCCCTGTTGCAGGAATAATCCCTCTGGGATATCACAGGCACCAGGTACCAAGTCCTCCTTTTCCAGGAGGATTACATATGGTATGAATTACACACCACATTCTCCTGAGCAGAGATTCATCCTTTTTACATGCATTTAGAGTATCCCATAGGGAAATGTGCACTTACTGTCTTATTTAAAATACAAAAATGAACATGATCTTTCTAATTTGCTTGCATGTCCTGATTGCCATCACATTCTTTCATTTTCAGGCACTTTAGCATAAGCTCCTTAGTGCAGGGACCATATCTAATATCCCCAGCACGCTGTCAGAGCTCCGTAGACAATAAACTATCTCAGCTTCCTTACTCTAATGTCAGAGGGACGGGTTCTGATGTAATTCTTGATGCCAGTTGTGCAATCAAATCTAATTTCCATTTTCGTCGCTGAACCTGAAAGTACACAAACACAAACGTAATTCCTGGTGGTAGAACAGAGCAATGTAATAACCCTGGCAAGCCTTAAAATCTTTGTCATAAGCTTCTCCTCAGACTTGGCCTAAAACAGGATAATTTGAGATATGAAAATGGAAGCTACTGTTTTTAATTTGAGGAAATATTTATACTGAAATAAAAGTGTATAAAATAAGAATCTCTCCTTTAAAGACTTACAAACAGACACTTGGAAAACAGAAATGTAAATTAACAGCAAATCTTTACCCTGCATGTGATTTGAACTAGATTAAACAGCCAGAGGTGGAAAAACCTGACAGCTCTCAGGAGCTCATCTCCTGAAAATAGGAAATGTTTATTTGTACCTGCCAAGTGCCAAGACAGAACGTGGTCACAGGAACCAGGAAAAGGCCCCACTTGAGTAAGATGTCCTCTCCAGATGCATCAGCAGCTGTTGTAGAACTTTGTGGTCTGCGGAACCTCAAACAAACCTCTAGAGAAAAACAGGATGAGGAATAGGATTTGTACAGGAGAAGGAGATGCCAAGTTCCTGTAGACAAAGTCACAACTTGGTACAAGGTTGAAACAGGGCAGAAGCCCAAACAATTTTATTCTTACCTTTAGTCTGCTGGACCAGACCAGAACATGCTTTAGTTAGGGGATACCCCAAAAATGTTCTTCTGATCAAGCAATGCGATACCTACGTGAAATAAGAAAGATCCTTTGTAGCGTCTCTGCTTTGTCAAATTTGTATCTAGATGATATCAGCTGCCTCAATGATTGCATGAAATTTTGTTTATCCCTTGATTTACATTTAATCTGAGCAAGCACCTGTGGAATGCTACAGGTTAGGTTATAATAATAATAATTAAAATGTAAAATTCCAGCTACAGAGCTGGCTACAGCACAGCAAGTGATCTATCCCTTTCCATCCGCGCTACCAGCAAACACACACGCTCTCTTAATTTGTTCCTGAAATAGCGCCAGCCAAGCCCCTCCTGTCCTCCTGCACTGGGGCGGCACAAGGGCAGACTCAGTCTTTTAGCCAGCGATTCCGCTCACTTTAGCACAGCTTCGCCCCGCGCACCGCGACGGGGGCACCGACCCACCGCTGCTAAAGCCCGGACCCCGGCGGCGGAAGGGCGGCGGCCAGGGGAGCCCGGCCGGCAGCACGGACAGCGCCGAGCAGCGCGGGGGTACGGGCCCCGGACA